GCCGATTCCTTCTTATTCAATCCCGATGCTTGTTTTCCAACAGCTGGATACTCATCCATACCTACCCCACACTTGTGACAACATAACAACTTCTTGGGACCCATTTCATACCCACTTCCCACTAGCCTAATCAATTTCTCCAACGCTTATTTCAATTCCTGGACATGGGCCATAATTTCAGCCTTATTCAAACAACAATCCTGACCTTCGTTTACACTGACATTGAGAACCATCTCCTTTTGTTGTTGCATCCGCTGGTCAGCATGCTTCGAGGTATGTAAGTTTGCTGTTATGTCTGCATAAGCCAATCTTTGTCGATTACGTTCATTCACCAGTCGACGTTTGGCCTTATCCCCAGCAACAAAAGAATCAACAACAATTTGAAATACCCGCGAGATTGATGCCCATCCTTCTCTATTCGCGCCTTCAGGCACCATCACAACTCTTTTCCTACGCCTATACCACGGCGTTTCGCACAATGCTGTGCCAAGAAGGTTCTTGATGACTCATTGAACCTAGAAATGAATTCCTCTTGCTTACTAGTCACCCTCAACTTGTCCACCATATTCACCATCCAAAGTGCACCGAACCTTCCCATGCTAATTGCATTCGATATCTTCGAGCCCCATTCGGTCAGTCTAACAACACCAAGATTGGTAACAGAAATTGCAAACTCCTTCGCCTCAACTCGAAAACGATGATTGAAGGCCACATCGAATTCATCCACAAACTTCCTTCCCTGATTGTGTGTGAACGGCATATTAGACGGCAAAACAGGCATCGTTACTGGACTGGGGACATTCTACCTGACATTCTGGTTCTCCGGCGCCGGCGCGTGACTGCCACGCGCTGCCAGACGCGCCGCTCCGGCGGCGCGTGCTCCTCCCCAACCTACCTCCGGCCTCAGAATCGCTTGCACTGCGCTCCGATCAGGCTCGTCTGCCTGAATGGTGGTTGGATTTGGTGTGATCTGGGTTTGCATCCCAGATTGGTGTGGCTTTATATGTGGCGTGGGGCCGTATGGGTTAGGGTTTCCGTCCGACGCGGTATTGCAGTCGTCGGTCAGAGGAATGGTCGGAGGTGGATCGGCGGTGGGTCGCTGGTCATGGGTTTGGGTTTTGGGTTTGGATATTAGGGAGGTCATGGAAGAGAGCACTCTGGTTTTTCAGTATGTTTAAATTATACAGTCTTCACCCAAAATAAATAAATAAATAAAAGGATGAAAAAGGAAATGGGAAAGAAAAAATCTAATGTGATGAGATTTTTGAAATAGGCTTGAGTTAACCCAGAGGGATAGCTCCGTGGTTAGGCTTTGGATTTGCTCTCCAACGATCACCAGTTTGAGTCTCTTCAAAGCCACTGAGGTAAATACCCAGCTGTAAACTTCAGGGCCTCGTGGGATTAGTCGAGGTGCGCGTAAGCTGGCCCGAACACCCACAGTTATAAAAAAAAGGAAGAAAGTAGGCTTGAATTTAAAGGGTGTAATAGGTTTTATATGAAACCAAGTAAATGGGGATTTCAGGGATTTTGTGGGAAGGATTGTAGGGTTTGAGAGAGGAGGTTTGTAGCCGCCACTGTCGAGGAAAAGTGAAGAAAATGCATCCGTTTACACAAAAAAAGATGATTTTTCGATTTTGGTTTGCGGTGGTGGCTGGCGATGGCCGGAAGTAGCATGTGGTGGTCGGCGACTTGTTTCTGCCTTTCTGGATTTTAGTTTTTCTTTTTCTTTTTTTTTTTTGGGGGGGGGGGGGGGAGCGAGAGAGAGAGAGGGTGGAGTGGGTGGTAGGTGAGATGTGTAAAAAGGTGATATTTTATTTTTATCTCTCCTCTCTTTATCTTTTGTTTTGTTTTATTTTATTTATGGATTTTTAATTATTTTATGTATATAATAGCAAATTCATCATTTTACCAATTTCAATTTGGTCAAAATTAATCAAAGTCCACTTTTATTAGTCAACTAACGATGAAATAGACGGTTTCCATCCATTTGGACCCCAAGTGCATAATTTTGAAAGATTAAGGGGCCTTCGCTGACATAAATTGAAGATTAGGGTAAAGTCTGCAAAAATTGAAAAGGCTTTGGACCGTTGCTGCAATTTTCCCTAAAATTAAAGAGGCAAATAACGCATTAACACAAAGTGGGAATAAAAGAAAAGTTATTTTCTTCATACATATGGAGTAGAGCATATAAAAGAGTTGACTATTATAGTGCATATATATAAGAGCTGACTATTAACCAACCACCTTGAATAACTATGAATCAAACATCAATAGCAGCTCTAGCCTCCAGGTTATTCTTTATTCATGCATATAATTTCCATCAGGAAATTTGAATTACAGATCATAGTTTTTCCTAGGAATAGATTCATGCCATTAATAGAAGCTCACAAAGATAATGATATGGGTGAACCAGCTAGACGATGTAAAAAGAATAAAGGCTTACATAGACGATGATATGGGCGAACTTGACAAAGCATCATTCTTCGGTCCTGTAACATTTGGCAATCCAGCAAGTTGCTTGGTTTTTTCTACTGCAGCATCCTTCTTAATTTCTTCAATACTCTTTCCGGAGAGAAACTAATATACCAAATAGATTTGAAAATGAAATCGGCAGCTTTAAATTTCACGAAGACATTTTAATGACCCAAAATGTGTAGTCTTGATAGTCTCTCTAAAGTTGGCCAATCAACATTAAAAATAAATGAATTATTGTCCAGTTTATGATGTGCTAGAATGACAATATAAATAAGAGGTTACATGCTAAGATTTTCACGAGTAGACTATAATGGTTTTTCAGCATCTACTCGCACTGAAGTTCATACTAACAAATACCCACGCAAACAAAAAGAAAAGAACAGAAAAATGGAGAAGCTAGAATTTATACGACACATTCTCAGACATCAAATTGCAGTTGGTTCAGTCATCAAATAGAAGAATTCAGTTTCGTCCATCATATCGTATAATTGATGTCCTAGCCATTTCGTCATCAGAGATTAAACAAAATCCAAGAGTCCTTTAAACTGTTTCATCCTCTTTAACCCATGCAAATGTTCTCACACATTTTCAACAAAGTCCTGCACCATGTTGGATCCATGGGAACTAATGCATCGATTATCCAATTGAATATGAAGAGGGAAATATCCTCTAAAAGGTCCTAGATAATTAAAATCGCAGAAATTTCAAAATCTATATAAAATTCATAAAGCAAAGCCAGATTATACAGAATCTATAATTCTCATTTGTGTCAATACGTGTTGTCTATGACTAAGGATGTAAATTTGGCTCGCCGGCTTGACGGACCGTGGCTCGGCCTGGTTAAGGCAGCTATGAAGCTGCCTATTGAGGCAGCTTTAAACCAATAGCTATGAGAGAGGGAAAAAAATCGAGCAGCTCGATAAGGCCTGAGTCGAAAGCTCGGATCGAATCTCGATTTTTTGGTTGAGCTTTTGCTTGGCTTGGCTCAGACCAACTTAAAAAGCCCGATCCTTGAGTTTCGATCATTGACACCCCTATCTTTGACCACTTGTTTTGACATAAGTCAATCTTTTGCCCTTTTTTTTTTTTGTGCATGTAATAAATTGTACGTTCATTCTATATGCTAATTTTTACATCTATAAAATGCAATTTGCCTTGTTTGGGTTCTTATTTTTCAGAATAATGCTATTTATCACAACTAGTGATCATCACCAATTTAGGTGGCAACATAGGTGTAAATAAATAATGGGTCCAACAAAATGTAGGGATTTCAAACCCATTTAATTGGACATATTTCTTATTTTCGTCTGGATTGGTGATGAACACTAGTGATGATAAATAGTATTATTTTGTTTTTCTTGGACTTCTGCTCATATATTCTTAAAAGTTTTTTTTTTTTTTTTATACAAATTTAAAGGGCAAATGTCAAATTTCTCACAACATAATAATAAAAACAAGATGGATTTGCAAAGAAGTAAGTTGTCAGTCAAATTTTTTAATTTTAAATTCAATGAACTATAGGCGAAATTTCTGTCTAAAATGATAAAATGAAAGAAAAAATCTACTTTATACCAAAGGAAAGCCATAATCTGTCAACAACGTTTAAAGCCGCCCCGATTACCAGCAGATAGAATTATGCTACAAGTATATTGAGTTTGACATTAAATTTTACATTGTGCCACGTGGCAACATTACAATGGACAGTTTTTGAAAAAAATACACTTTCCCACCAACTCCATTTTTGAAAACAATGGAGTGTCAAACTCCATGTCAAGCAAACAATGTACAAGAAGCCTTATTCATATAACATCACAAGTTTCAGGTAGTAAAGCTATCCAGTTTTCAAGCCCTCTATAGTCTTTCCTCTTAGCACCCAATTCTGGTCAGATTATAAACAATTTTATTTTGTTCTCTTCTATTACAAAATGTGAATTACACATTTACATGATCATTAACCTTTCTTCACCTCCATATAAACAAGCTTGCGTACATTATTATAATTCCCTATTTATTTAAACTTTAAATTAAAGCCCACCCTACTGCCTTGTAATAAAGAAAAAGGAAGACCATAAAAAGAAAGCATCAGCTCAAGATCCAGCACAACTTATCCTCTAAGACCTAGAAAACATTCCCGGCGAGTGATGGTTAAACTTAAAAGAGAAAGTGGAATGGATACGTACTTTGACTACATCACTCTCCAAGTAATCACTCTAATTAAAGCCCTGATGCATTCAAACTTCAAATAGTATAGAAGTATTTTTACTTTTGTTTTTACGTTGATCCTTTATTTACAAGTAAGTAAGAGAGAACAGAAAGGAAAATGGAGTAGGCTTGAGATGCAGTTAATTGAATATATCTTACTACTATGTGCCATCAGTTCTTCAACATTAGCAATCAAAAGTGAATAACAGCAATTTTCGACAGTTAGAAGCGCCAAAAAATACAGTGAAATTAGTCTTTGCAATTACTTCTTCAGAAACTCCTTGCAATTTTTGAAACTTAGAGTAGGATGCTAATACAACATGGACAAATTTGTGGATGGTTTTTGAAAAACAAATTACAAATATTTGGAGCTATACATACCTGCCGATATGGCCACCTCACAAGACCATTTTCGTAACATAGCTTCTTCAGGACACTAGGACAAACACCTGCAGAACGAAGGTCACAGCTGTTTCCTAAAGTCTATATAAACAATAACCAATAACAAATCTGGATAAGGAAAAGACAATTGCATGCTACTAGCAATCAGCAATACACAATAGTAAATTCCTAGAAAATCATAATAGGAATTTTCTAGCTGTGATGAATATGGTTATACTGGCATTTTTTAGCATATAAATTATCAATTCTAGCCCTATACCAGAAAGTCCATTAGAGGGCCACATCCTACGGCAGACAAGTGTCAGTATTATATTAACATTCCATCCATTGGAATGGGCAGAAAGATAATTCTATTTGTTTTGAGTTAAACTTGACGTACATGTTTAGAGCTCAATAAATTACTAAATTTATCTTATTTCCCCTGTATCCTTTCATTTGATTAAAAGCTTGTCTGGCATAGATTTTTCAAATGAAAAATGAATTTTTTTAATAATGTGTAGTTGAAAATGATTTTAGAAAAATTCGTGCCAAACAAACCTTAAAATGTTATTCTACGTAACAATTTCAAGTGCCACTATCAACAATTTCCATTCTGCCTCAATATTCAAACATAAATATTGAACAATAATAATCTCGAAAAATATGGACCTAATAAAAAAGCATGCTTAAAGATTCAAGCTTTCTTAAGAATTGCCACAGTATTGTGAGGCATTGCAACTCATTCAAGTATAAACTCGCCACATAGTTTTGCTCCAAATGCATTACTACTTTCCAATATTGGGTGTGGCTCATACTCTTTTATACCTAGATATAGGTATAGATTAGCTCGCTCACCGTCATCTTTGCTACTGTTTTCCCGTGAACCAATCTTAAGTTGATTGTATTCCACATTTTATATAGCTTTTTGGGTGCAATTAATCTTGGTGCCAGTTTGACAATCACTGCCTTATTTTTTTAGTTTGCTACAGGATCATTTACAACCAAAAATTCGAGCAATAAGATATTCTACACATATACCAAAAGCTTTTCGCTACTTTTTAACAGCACATTACCCTAAAAATCACTACTCAGAACTCTTTTTAATTTGAAAAATACATCAAAATTTAATTTTTTTCCCAGCGTCATCGAAAATAAAAATGATTACGGTTACACACAACAATTTTACACAGCCCCTTTAAATAAAAACGTGCATAATATGTGTGTTTGAGAGAGGGGGTGGTAACTTACCAAGGGAATCAGCAGCATCAGAGAGTGGAAGAGAGAAAAACTTAGAGGCTTCGTCGTATGAAGGAGATTTGGAGTCCGAAACTGAGTTGGGATTCGAGTTCGGGTGTGAGTTTGTTATCGGACTTCGGTTGGTATACAAGGCCGGGTTTGGGGTTTGCATAGTACCCATTAGCGGTGGCTACGGACTGAGATCGGTAGTGGTTTGACCTAAGCTGAATTTTGATTAATTAAAATAAATAAATTACTCAGCCCGTTTCGCCCCCACTAAATCTCATCAAATTAAATTAATTTTTTCTTCCCTATTTTCAATTGTACAATCTTTAATATTTAATATTACATGTAAATCAATAATTTTTCATTCTTTTACAACCATCGATTTTTCAAAAAAAAAATACATATATTATTTCTCCTATTATAATACAAATTAATGGGGGATCCGAGTTGCTAATATATTTCATAACATTGACGACACCCCTCGAATTTGTTAGCCAACGTTGTCAATAAAGTAATTAGCAGTGTAAAGGTAAAGATGGGGCATTATTTCCTATTTTTAAAATAAAATCAAAATTACAGTAAGGTAATGGGAGCAATTAAGTCACTAAATTTTTATTTTGTACCAATTAAGCCATTAAATTTAAGCAGATCAATCCTTTTGGGTTTCATTAACGTGCCTAGTTCGTGTGACTATCAAAAGTCGAAACTAACAAGATGCCAGTGTTATTAATTCGCTGACATAGATGGACATCGTATATTTTGTTAATTCAGATGGATATGTCAGCTTTGATGATCCAGATTATCCATTGAACTCTCAACCTAATCAATGTATACTGGGTGTTCCCCGACCAAACTTATATATGCAAATATGATCATTCTTCACCCATCTATAATCTATCGGTCTTGCTTTCTGTTTTACCTATCATATGTTATCGTGTGGAGTCTAAATGATAAACTTATCAATGTACAACTCAATTAAACTATTTTCATCTTTTCCATAGGAGTCTTGAGCCAAGAATAAGACCAAGTATTATCACTTGTGACAAATGGAGCACTCCTTCAAATAGTTATGCTAACTCTATCCAAAGGTCCTTTTGGGTTTCATTAACGTGCCTAGTTCGTGTGACTATCAAAAGTCGAAACTAACAAGATGCCAGTGTTATTAATTCGCTGACATAGATGGACATCGTATATTTTGTTAATTTAGATGGATATGTCAGCTTTGATGATCCAGATTATCCATTGAACTCTCAACCTAATCAATGTATACTGGGTGTTCCCCGACCAAACTTATATATGCAAATCATGATCATTCTTCACCCATCTATAATCTATCGGTCTTGCTTTCTGTTTTACCTATCATATGTTATCGTGTGGAGTCTAAATGATAAACTTATCAATGTACAATTCAATTAAACTATTTTCATCTTTTCCATAGGAATCTTGAGCCAAGAATAAGACCAAGTATTATCACTTGTGACAAATGGAGCACTCCTTCAAATAGTTATGCTAACTCTATCCAAAGTTGGTTGAATATTTCGAGACTCCAAAACTACCACCCTTGATTAATTAACTTATCTTGTGTCTATGTGCTCCACGATTCACAGAACAAACACCTCCGCAAATCCTCATATAAATAGGAAGGAAATCTAACTATTCAAGGGGCAAACAATTGATTATTGAATTTACAAAACTTCCTTAATATTCGTCCAACCAAGATATCTTATCGCTATTACTGTCACTTTTATCTTCCACTACTAACAATCTTTTCATCCAACCATTTCGACACAACACCCACCTTTCAAATCGATTGTAAACTCGGGCATCTACATCAACAAATTTCGATAGGCATGACACTAGAATCCAAATGGAGTGGCCTAATTGGTTTTAAATTAATGTTTATTGATTTGATTATTTCAAATTGAAGTTCAATAAATTGATTATAATTAGGAGGAAAGTTCAATAATCTCCACTATAATTAAGCATATTCAAAAGTTTAAACATATTACAAAAAAAACTATCACATCATCCTCAATGACTCATTGATAGTAAGATAGTCTAAGATCTATTTATTCAAGACAATTACATGAGTTAATTGTGTCAATGGTTACTGAACTTATGTCTACGTCTTTGACTGGTTACTGAAATTTAAAATGTCGAGTTTTTGTCACTAAACTTATGTTCATGTATTTGATTGCTCACTGGATTTAAACAATTGAGTTTTGGTTACTGAACTTTAAAAAATATTGTACACTATTTATCGTAAATTCGACATTTTTCAAAATTAAATATCTATTCTAGTGAATAATATACAACATTTTTCAAGTTCAGTGGCCAAAATTTGACATTTTACACTTCAGTGAGCAATCAAAGATATGGATCTAAATTAGTGACTAAAACTCGATATTTTAAACTTTAATGATCAATCAAAGATATTGACCTAAATTTAGTGACCATTGGAACAATTAATTCCAATTATATATGTAGCCCCCGTTTGATTCTCATTCTTATAAGAATGAGAATGAAAAATATAATCATTACGAGACCCATATAAGAGAGAGAAAGTCAAATATGGTAGCTTGTGTGATAGAACGGTCATCTTTTTGTAGACAAATAATGAAAAAAAACAGGGCCTAAAAATTTAAACCGATAATAAGCAATATTATGCCTTTGATGAAGGTGCAGTACGTTGCGTTTAACAAATTGTTTCTCAGCTAGGTACAAAATATTTGAGTGCATCCCACTCGTGTGAGTGCATGAATACTTTTTATGAATAAAAAATTTTGTACAACTAGCATATATCTTGTTGTTCACTTGTATTAGAAATACCACTGACTTTGCTTCCCTACGTAACCTTACCAACTTTATTAATGTTTCTTTGTTTACATACCTACAGTGTGATACATATTCTTTTGCAGATGGGATATTCCAGCTTTATTCTAAATGATGAATGATTCTACACATATAACTAACTTTATTAAGAATGAAAAATATGTGAAAGGTTTAATATATCAGAACGTGCCATATGTATCAACACAAAAATTATTTTTGCAATATGGATATTGAGTGAAATAAAATGAATAAAATTGATTTCGCTTGAGCACATGAAACGTACTGCCAATCCAAAGTAGTTCAATACTAAAGTTGAGACATATTTGGTGGTGAAGGGACTGGAATTTTAGAAAAGTAACTCGATGAACTTCAACCAGATAGCTTTACTGAGGTCAAATGATGTCGTTCAATTTTTTTTTTCCTAGACCTACCCACTGTACTTTGTGGTCCGGTTTCGTGCTCATGCTGCCACTATCTGCTCTTTGGCATAAGTTGTAGCTAGCCTCTAATTATCCAGTTTCTCTTGAACATCCTTTCATCACTAACAAATTTCTCAATTTTTACTCGTTTTGCTTGATTTTCTCTTTTGGGGGCTAAAAATTTAGGTGTATCATGAAATTTCTCACTCCAAACAAATATCAGTATCTCCCATTTTATCATCAATGATTCGTTCTAAGATTCAATAGTTCCTTTAAGATTGTCCAAAAGTTAACCAGTGTTTTCGAAAGTGCACGAGGCTTACGCCTTGATGCATTCATTAGGAGCCTTAGAACTTACCATTTGAGTATCGTTTGTCAAGGCTTACTTTTTATATTTTTACTTTATAAAGACTTGGCTGTTTCATACCTTGGGTTAACGAGGCTTTAATCTCCCATTTACACTTGAGTATTAAAAACCAAATTATGGAATGGGCTTCCTTGGCAATTGTGTAGTTGGACTTCTTGTTTATCTTCGCTTTTCTTTTGATAACTTTGAACTCAGTAACAATGTCAATTCCTATGTTAGCTGCTTACATCTGCTCATGTTTCCTCAGGAAAGTGATCCCATGTTAACTGACCGGGTTTGGGAGGCTTTAGTAAAACCTTTTGCAAGTCAAATGAAGTCTGTTTTCACTGCATCAAGCTTTGTCAAGGAGATATTCACTACAGGGTATCCAAAGCTATTGTCTACGATTGAGAACCTCCTTGAAAGGATTTCACGTGATACTGATGTCAAAGGAGTTCCACCAGCTCTTACTTTAGAAGGAAAGGAACAAATGATAGCTGCCATTGAAATTTTCCAGACAGCGTTTTTGGGGTTCTGCTTGAGTAGACTTTCTGATCTTGTTAATTCTGTATTTAACATGTCAAGCCGTGGAACTGTTCCCTCAAAAGAGCATATCTCAAGGATTATATCATGCATTCAGGAAGAAGTTGAAGCTGTGCAGCTGGATGCACGTTTGACTCTTCTTGTCTTACGTGAAATCAGCAATGTTTTGCTTTTGCTCGCAGAAAGAGCTGAATATCAGGGAGGTGCTCTTTAATTTCGCCTTGTAAATTCCTCCTATTTTACCCCTAGAAATCTGTTCCACCCACCTTTTTTGTGTTTGGGCAATTAACTATTCCGTATGTTCTTTTATTTCTATATCAATGGGAATGGTAAATTAAAAAGATAAGCAAACTAGTTGATTGACCTAGTCCAAACCTATTCATTTTATCTCCTGCTGCAAATACTACTTCGATGCCTTTGAAGAGAATGTTCAGTATGTTGGGTGGCCTTCATTAATCATCCTTACCAGCTTTCACAGCATCTCAAAAACTAATGTATAAAAAATTAACATGAAATTAGGAGTGTCAATATAGTTTTGTACCTATTTAGTGCTATGTGCCAGATGTTTTGGGTAGGTTTATTTCTTTTCAATAATTATGATTGTACACATGCGTTGTGCCAGTTGTGGTATCATCTTATTCGATAAGCCATATTTATCACTGATTAGCAGATACAGGAAAACCTTTAATTCCAAGACACAAGATAAGAGCCATTATCTTTCTTTGATTACAGATCAAGATGAATACTAAACCTATACAGCTAGTCACCGGATACTACAACCTATTCACATGAAAAGCCCTTTAGGAAACCCATCCAATTGTCTATTCAACTAGCACTGAGTTTATTTGTGAATCATGATGCTCATTACTTTTAGTTTACATAATGACTGGGAAATAACCTTCTTAAGCTGTCTCGTAAATAAATGAATTATCGTGGATTTGATTTGTAACCCCTCAATGGGTAACTTCTACTCTCTATTCAATCGTATGAGTACTTTTTTTGATGGCAGATATTACGAGTACTTTTTTTTATGGCAGATATCGACTGGGAAATAACCTTCTTAAGCTGTCTCGTAAATAAATGAATTATCGTGGATTTGATTTGTCACCCCTCAATGTATAACTTCTACTCTATTCAATCGTCCAAGTACTTTTTTGGATGGCAGATATCTACTGGCCCTGAAGCTCGCCAAATAAATGGTCCTGCTACTCCCTTGCAGATCAAGAACTTTACATTAAGTCAGCATCTGCAAGAGATCCACGCACGTGTAACCTCAATGATTTTAAGACTGCCGGTTGTTGCTTCAGATATTCTATCTCCTGCTCTTCGTACCCTATATGGTATTGCCTGTGATTCTGTGACACCCTTATTTCAAGCGATGCTCGATCATCTTGAGGCCTGCATTTTGCAAATTCATGATCAGAATTTTGGTACTCTCAGCATGGATGCTGCTATTGACTTTGACAACAATGCATCACCTTACATGGAAGAATTGCAGAAGAGCATTCTTCATTTTCGGACTGAATTTCTGTCCAGGCTTTTGCCTTCTTCTGGGGCTATATCCACTGGAGCAGAAACTATATGCACAAGGCTTGTAAGGAGCATGGCATCGCGGGTTTTAATATTTTTTATTAGGCACGCTTCACTTGTTAGACCTTTATCAGAATCGGGGAAGCTGAGAATGGCTAGGGACATGGCTGAACTTGAATTGGCAGTAGGCCAAAACTTGTTTCCTGTAGAACAGCTTGGAGCACCATATCAGGCCCTTTGAGCTTTTCGGCCTGTTATTTTCTTAGAAACATCTCAAATGGAAGACTCGCCACTTCTTCAAGATCTTCCACCAAGTGTCATACTTCACCATCTCTATTCACGTGGCCCTGAAGATTTGCAGTCACCACTGCAAAGGAACAAGCTTACTCCTGTCCAATATTCACTGTGGATGGATTCTCAAGGGGAAGATCAAATTTGGAAAGGCATCAAGTCAACTTTGGATGATTATGCTGCAAAGGTAAGGGCCAGAGGAGACAAGGAGTTCAGCCCGGTTTACTCTCTGATGCTGAAACTGGGGTCATCTTCAACAGGGAATGAATCATAACCTTTGTCAATTGACATTTAGTTCAAGCATAACAATTTGTCCATAAATCTCATCCTCCTCCAGATTTGCCTCCAAAATGTCACTGTAGGTGTTGGTACACAATCATCTTCTATACCTCATGTTATTGCTTGATTTTGTTTTGGGAATCATGTTCTTGGTTCTTCCACTTGTATGATATGATAGATAGTTCAAGTTTTCTTCAAAATCCATTCATTATTAAATCATGTATCTTAAGAGCCTGTTATTTTCCCAAATCTAGAGTCAGATATTGTCTTCCATATCATCGGCGCATTGCAATGGCAATCCAGTATTTGATATGTTGGACATATACAAATGGCAGATGGTATATTGCTGTTGTATGTATTATTGGACAAGAAGTGAACCATAATACTGATCAATTAGAACTTGTGTGATTTTCTTTATTTTTTTCTTGTTGGGCTTCTAGTTTTGTACTTCTGTTTGAAACTTGTAGAAACCTGACTGAAGGATACCAAGAGAATAACTCCTTGAGGTGATGCTATCCGAGATGGCTACCTAAAATTAAAGAATTGGTCAATCTTGCTTGCCATGCATATTTCCAAAACTTTTTGTTCTTTTACTGATCTTAAAATTCTTTTGTGCTCTCTCTGTCTCTCTGTCAAGAAGACAAACCAGAGAATGGTTAGTTGCGTGCCTTTGCTGTTAGTCTAGTCTTGTATAATAATTTTTAATTATTCGACCCCATGTCATTTTCTCCGACGGTCAACTTCATGAATTGACATGAACTCAAAAAATATGAAAAGAATACCAACATCCATGTAATTACAAATCTTAGCATCTAGCTGATAGTTTTCAGACATTCTACTCTCTCTCGCACACGTGAGAGAGAGAGAGAGAGGTTTCTTTTTTTTTTTTTTTGGTGTGTGTGTGTGTTTGGGGCACTATCTACATATGCAGAATAAACATAATTTTGTGCACATTTCTGTCTCGTGACTCAAGTTATATATTTCCACCCCCACCTCCATTTTCAACCTCCGAAACTTTCGAATCCTTCTCAATATAATTCTTCCAGTATTCTCCGAAGGAGGTGGCGTTGACAAATTCGAGGTTAAACTGAAGTCCCTATCTAGTTCTCCAGACAACATGAGGAAGAAACCTAAGTCCACTCAAGTTCCCAACTTATTACCTAAGAAGAATAAGAAACAAATCACCAGTACTTTATTAAAGATTTTGCGGCCCAAAGTTTATATTATAGACTCTTCAAATTTCAAGACACTTGTTCAACAACTGACTGGTAATGGAAATTTTACACTACTCCTCTCATCTCCATCTCCTTCTATATCACAACCTGTAAATATCATTCAAGATCATGCATATCAAGAAAACGGTTGGGATTTGTCGGTCGATTCATCGTGTTTAAGCACTCCATTAGAAAGCTCCCCAGATTTACCAATGCCAGAAACGTTGGATTGTGTGATGGAGAATTCATTGGATATAGAGTCATTGTTGTTGGAGATGGATCCAGTTTCTTATAATTATGATGCATGCTATGCCATGATTTGGCCAGAGGCTTGTGCTTATGATTATAATTTCTCTGGCTTCATATGATTATATATGTATTTATGTAAACATTTGGTTCAAGAATCATTAGCCAAGGTTTATGTTGTGCATAGTTATATGAATATAGTACATATTGAACTATTTATGTACATATTTTATATGAGGTACAGTTGAGTGTGTAGATATCGTGTGTGTCATGTGCATAATACCAATTCAAGAAACCCAACTAATCACTTCCTTATGTTCCAATCGTTAGCGCAAAAAATCATTGTTTAAAAGAAGTGTATTTTCCTTTATCTCATTTTTGTATGCTTTTAAATGATGTTCCTATTGAAGAAACGTAATCTACAAGGATGAAGTCAACAAATTATGACTGCAATAGAAAAACCTTTTGAGGTGAGAAATTCATTATCAACTGAATAGTATTTTAAAAAAAAGGGCCAAAAAAGACTCCATGGCCCAATGGATAAGGCGCTGGTCTACGGAACCAGAGATTCTGGGTTCGATCCCCAGTGGAGTCGTCTATTATAATATTTATTTTTCCCCTACTTTAAACGCTTTTTTTGCCCGCTCCCATTTCCAGAAACACAACATAGACACAAAAGATTGGCAGGGCTTCTCATGAAGGGATGCAATAATGCAGAAAGTTAGAGACAAACACGTAAGAACTGAATTACATTTTGTTATTGACCCGTATTTTCTGTTTTTTGCTTATACAAGGACTTAAGTTGCCTACTGATCAACTTGCTATTACAGAGAGCCATTCGCAACTCCAAATCGTCCGACCACCATTGCTCCAAACCATGCGCCTCGACGAACTTCTGTTTTTCTTTCGATGACACAAAAAGTTTTGCACCAAACTGTGTATTTGTCGGTTTTACATTTTCCTTATCAGCAACACTATTGCCTTCTGATGATTCTTCCGAATTAGTATAGTCGCAACAAATGTAGTCGCTATTATTTACGTACAAATGAGGTATCCATTGCTTTGATCCCAGTGTGATAGATTTCATCACCACCTTGTCATTGGTCGACTGAGTTTCAATTCTCGAAGGAAGCATTGACTTGAACCTCTTCCAAACAACATCAGCTTTTTCCCCGATGTTTCTTAAACTCATAGCTAGTGAAACCGAGGGTGGATTGAACAAATGTGCCTCGACATATATTCCTTGTTGGGCTAATGTTTTCCCAACTTGGAGAGCAAAACCAGCCCCTAAAGAATGTCCTGCAATACATACATCGCTGCTTCCATACTTGTCAGCAATCAATTTCAATGCCTTGAAAGCGCAACTAAATCTCACTGATCCCTTCAAACTTTCCCAAGCCAGGAAACGGAGATCATCCTCAATATCGCGTCTAATTGTGGGGCCTTTAAGAAGCGTCCCTCGAAGTGCTAAAACAGCTCTTGGCGCGCCATTAGGTCGAAGCAGTACAAAGTCAGCCAAAGCTGCAACCCGATCCCATTCGAGTATTGCACCGAATATTGATCCATCTCTTTCATCAATAAGGGTTTCAGAGAGTTTGTACTTAAAAGGTACCCACCATTTAGGAGCAAGAGTATTCTCGTCTCCTCTTCTGTTTTCTTGTCTGTCAAGTTCGAGCAAGTAAACTGCTTGTATAAAACATGCAATTACTGTCCTTTTATAATTACCATCCTTCCTGTAAATGCAATTTACTCAATTCATGTCTGTATTTCCAATAAAAACTACAAAACATCAAGCTATAATTATAAATCGTACGTTTAATATTTATTTGCAAATGCAAAGAGCAGTTCTTTAACAAAAAATTTACAGGAGATGCATAAATTTAACTAGAGAAAACATAACATTTCCCAACACATAAAGAAACAGTTTTCAGAATGTACTTGAGATATTCAGCTTCATAGAAAAATTATACCATCAGGATTTGTTTTGACGAGATAAGAAAATAAGTTCCAAGCAAACAGCAACCATGTACATCAATATAAGTTTGTATACGAGCCAATTTCAAAACTTATCTCTGATGTGATCCACCAATAATATAGATTTGTATTCCTATTTGATTACACACATCACCCTCATTCTTTTGCAGATCGTCAACTATAATTAAATTTAATGATGAACACTGAATGTGTCTCACTAACTAGAACAAAAATCTTGCCATTCTATTCTAAGGTTGGATTAAAACTAAGCACACAAAAAGATCTTGGTCATTTACATAAATTCAACGAAAACCCTCATCTTAAATCAAGATAAAATCAAAAATTAGTAGAAATATATAACGACAAAGCAAATAATCGCATAAGTTGCGCATATATATAATACAAACAGAGACACATTAGAGGAGAAAATGAGAAAAACGGGGTGATGGGCACTGACCAACTGGAGTTGATGAGGTCTTTCCAACTAGGAGAAGAAACATTTCGAGGTCCAGACACATGGAATGCATAAGGATGATGATGATCTTCAGATTCCAACTCTGTTTTTTCCTTTAGATTTTGATTTCGGTTTTGTTCTTCGTCTTCTTTGATTTCCATCGCCTGCAAGACTCCATTATTCAACTCCTTTGCGCCCCTCTTTCCCATTTCTCTCTTTACACGGACAACACTCAACTCCAAACTGCAGAAGGAGAGAGAGAGAGAGAGAGAGAGAGAGAGAGAGAGAGAGAGGGCCTTGAAATGAATGGAAAATGGGGGAGGCTGAATTCATATTATGCCAACGGATTCTAAGAATTTATTAGAATTTAATGATAATATCTGACTTTTTTGAAAATATCTGCCTTTTGTTTTCTTTATATTAAATGGAGAGTAACTCTAACGGTCACATTTTGATTCAGATCAAGTCTCTGTTCTCCAAAATTAGCCGTACGTTGTTGGGTTAATTTTTTATCTGGGCTATTTACATATTTAGCAAAGGCTGAGAACCTCCACTATAATTTTCCTTCTTAAAACTAATAATTCATTTTCTAATAAAGTGATTTGCACCAGGAAGATACTGGACCCATAAAAAATATATGTGGACGATCTAATTTCTTTAACTTAGATTTAAATTGAGGTGTCCGTTTATCGAATTATTAGCAAGTGAAATTGAAACTCAGAAGCTTCCAACTATAGAACTAGAAAAATTCAAGAACACCAAAATTATCCCATGGCCCTGAATTTTGGCACTGCTTCTCTACACCTAGAAGCTCATTCACTGAAAGTTGGAAATAAAAAACATCCCTTTAAGCTCTATGAAACTTTTACTCCATCTCCGTCTTCTTTGAAAGCAGCTGCTTTGTCTGAAGGAACTGAGAGTAGAGTCACAGAGGAAGAATCCTCTACTTCTGGTATATTGGCATTTCTTGATATTGTTTAAATCTTTTTTCTTTTTTCTTTTGGGAAGGAAATGTTGCATAAATTTGAAAGGAACCATATTCATAAAATCCTTTCATAAAATCATAAATTCCATGTTGAAATCAAAGAGACAACAAAAAAGTGCGGAAACATACCTTGATCCATGAATCTTACTGCTTTAATTGGGTTTTGATCTTTCAATTGATACGTGATTCTTGATCCATGAATCTTACTGCTTTAATTGGATTTTGATCTTCCAATTGATACGTGATTCTCTTTCCTTTTGGTTTTCTTCAAAGTCTCTATTGATGGGGATGCAGAGATATTTTCCAAAGAAAATCACGTTCAAATTGGGGACCATAACCACTTTTAAAATAACTGCTATTGGCAGTTATTAACTTTAAGTTATTTCAAATCGGCCCCTCATCAATTCAAAATAACACCTTCTGGTCTCTACACTTTAATCCCATAAAATTTAATACCCATTAGTCCAAAATTAAATCCAATGGATCACTTTATCGACTATATTT